ATTAGACGATAAAGTGGTCATACATCACGTTAGTAGGTTCTTTAACTTACAGCTGAGATTTGTACTCGAGTTTCCAAGATCTAAGAAAGAAGTCCAAGATAATTATAGAAACACAGCAAATTGAGAGGAAAAGAAAACATTGCAGCTAAGTGAAATCATTGTACATTGTGACTATATGTATAATATATACCATCTGAAATCTCTCTAAATATTTTAATGTTAGGAACATTAACTTCATAATTTGATTGTCACTGATTTGTTTTAACTATTTAATATATCTATTTATTTTTAAAATATAGCTCAAATATTGTATAAGAAATATACCTTACGTATAAAATGAGATAAAAATCCATATATATACATAAAACATGAGTGTAGGAGTTAACAATAGTATATATACATATATATATTAAAATAAATAGTGTTAGAAAATATAATTTCTGTGTGTAGTTTATGCTATTCAACTCAATATTTTACTTCCTTAATTAATTCTTTTTAATACTAAGAAATGAATAAACGAGGCAACTATTGAGAAATTATTTAAAAATTAATTTTGTTACTTTCTAATTTATTTCAATAACAAAAAAAAATCACAAGTAGAAATTCAGTATTTTTAGAAAAATGAGTAATTAACTAAACTAAATTAACTAACTAATTAACTAAATAAAATCTTAAACAAATATAGTTTTAAATCCTCTAATTTAATACTAAGTAAATATCTTGAATTCCACACTCTCTCCCTCTTGAAAACTGAAATCGTTACATATAGAATATATAAGAATAATTAATTAAGGACAAAGAGATTTAATTTTATTTTAGAATATAAAGTTGAATAAATAAAAAATAAATGTGAAATTGTTTATTTATAAGAATATTTTTGAATTAAAAGCAAAACAAAAACAATTAATCAACAAATTTTATCAGTAGACTTAAAAATTATTACGAATACTTAAAAAGATAAAAAATTCCACACCATTAAATTATGGAATAATTTAAATAATTATAAACGAAATCCACTGGAATCAGTCTTTATATTTTGATAATTCTTAATAGAATTTTATATGAATTGACATTTATTTGAAAACATTTTCCTGACTGCAAGGTTATTGTCACAAAAATAGTTACGTTTTTGTTTGTGATTATCTTAGAGTGACGTCACTTTTAGGTCACCAACAATTAGACAGGAGCGGTTTATATGTAAAATAAATATTTACAATATTTATATAACATAAATATATCATCATAATTTTTATATTTATAGCTCATATACATTACTACTGGTTTTTTTGTTTCTGTCAAGTACCTTTTCCAGAAAACTTAACAAATCCACCTAACTAACTTTATATAAAAAATACACTACTGTATCTCAAATATAATCTGCGGATTTATAAGGCATTTTATGTGTTTAAATTGCAATTTTTTGTACTTGAAATATTTTAATCGTCATTTTTAAGACGATAAAATTGCATTTAACAAGTGTTAAGTAATATCCCAATTTTTTAAATGATTTGTTTATATTCAAAAGCGGAAATATAAAAAATTAATATTAATTAAAAAAAATATGTATACATCAAATATGAATAGGAATTTAATAGAAAAGTGATAAGAAAACATATGTAGATATGTTGCAAAACATCGATATAATAAAGAGTTTTTAATGAGAATTGTGTAGATAAAGATACGAGTATCTGCAAATGCAGTAAAATACTTAATTGTTTTGAATTGAATACAGTTCCATTATAGAGAAGTGTAGTTTTATGGTGGGTATTGTTACATTTTTATGGTCACAATAATAATAAGTGTTATTCATTTATGATGTTTACTAATTGAATAAAGGGTTTTGTGGGAAGTGTTTGTTTATTAATCTTCAGTATGCTACACTTCAGTATACCACTATAAAGTGGTTGTTCAAAAGTCTACGGTAACCTAAATAACATGTTTGACCTATTGAAACGTAATTCTTCAAAAGACAAGTAACACAGATCGCTGTCATTGATTAATCAAAATAATTTGTTACTATACAAGGATCGTTTTAATTTCCTCAATCCATTATATAGCAAACTTTAGATCTATGGCTGATGCAAATAATTATAAATTTTACATTTATTAGGATTTTTTCTTAAGTTTAATTTGACATCGAGCAGTTGACTTAATAATCTCTACTGGTAACGTTCTCTAGAACATAACAAAGCAACAGATTAAAATCCGTTTCGAATATTTAAAACTAAAAAGCGTATAATTTATATATAAGCTTATAATTTTATTTTGTACATTCTATATACAACTAATTAATTTCATGCACGAAATGCACAAACAAATTTTTATATTTAATAATTTTACTGAATTTATATAATGTTATGTATAAAATTTTAGTACCATCTAATTATTTTATATATAATACACCTAGTATTATAAGTTGTCTATAACACTAATTACATTAGGGGAATTCAGAATCTTCAGTAATATACTAACAACGCATTAAAACCATCCTTTAGGAATAAATGGAGAAAATTTCCACCGGAGGGCATTGCGAAAACTTTATTCCACTACTTAGGGGAGAGAGCTGAGATCAAGAGGATTAGTACCTACAAATTTAGGTTTATCTAAGACAGTAATTTTAGTGAAAAGCTGCAATAATAAAGAACATTTCGAGTAAATATATCGAGAGCGTGAAAAACCCTATTCATTTCGTCCTAAACTTCATTTATTCATTTTAAAAATAAATTTAAATTAAATGGAATTATTAAATAAATGTTATTGAATGTTTATTTATTATAAAATATGATATTTTCTATCAAGTTTTTAACTTTAGCTTGAACATCTTATAAGAGTGAAGGATAACATTTCAGAAATGCACTCGCAACTAGTTTTTTACTATTAAAATATATGTATCTACTTTGCTTTGACTAAAGTATATGACTTGATAGGCTTGCTTTGTTAAAAATAATTAATAAACATTCGCATTCGATAATTGTTTGAGGGAACATTAAAAAAAACCAGATATTATTTTGATTGAACCTAAACCAGAATGGAGGGATATAGCTGATACTAAAGATATTAGAATTAAGTATAAACACGAGTTTGCACAAACATTTGTTTGTTAGAAAGGTGTTTTAGAAATAGTTACCGCACTTGGTCTAATAAATAAATATAATAAATATTATTGTTTTTATGCAGTGTATCAGAAGGCATAAAATGTGAATCCATTAATATATTCCAGAAACAATTAGTTGAGCTAATAGTATAGTAAGTGGTTAAAACCAGCCAAACCAACAAAAATATGTGAATGTCAGCTAATAAGGTTTTGATCTCCAAAATGGTGGAATATCTATTGTATTGTATTAAAGGATAATCTAACGAAAATATGAAAAATGAACATTATATATATTGGTGTGTTTCAATGTGATTTATGCCTACAAAAAACTAGTTTTTCACACCAAATCCAATGGAAAAATTGCATAAATTGCATTATGAATGGTTTTCTACCAAGTATATATTCCTGTTCTGGATTCTACTAACTGTGGGCAGACATAAAATAAATGTCCAAGAAAAGAAATTTGGATTTTATAATTAAGTAATTGTTGAAACTGAAAATTATTTTGAAGTCAATGACAAGTCGTTCAATAGAAAAGAGATTGATCAATTAGACGAATGTTGGAAAGAAAGTATTAGTCTTGAAGAAGACTATATTGCGAAGGAATGTCAAATTTTTAGAAAACTGAAGAATATTTTGAAGCCAATTTAAATCGTTTTACAAAAAGGGTGCAAAAGTTAGAGATACATTGAATTGAATCTATCAATCTCAAAGAAAACTATATCCCATATATAATCCTTATTTAGGCTGAGTGAGAGTGAGAGAGAGAGAGAAAGAGAGCAAGCTATATGTTATAAAACTATAAAACACATTTAATTATGTATAAATTAATTATTTAAAATAAATCTATACATTTATATAGACATTTAGTTAATATTATATCAATTATATTTTTTTAAGTTTTTGCTATAGTCCCTCATAAGTGGTTGGAACGCTACTGGCAACATTAAAATTCGCAAGCAAACGTCATCAATGAGCGGAAAAACATTGTAAAATGCGCAAATCCAATAAGAACTTAATTGACCGCACATTTACTGATAAGTAGGGTGTATCTTTGCATTCAATTCTAAATTCCACGAATTAATTTAAATATATAATTTACAGAACTAAAAACTAAGTGGAAAAATACGCGGGAAAGTGAACTCAATTTTTATTGGGGACAATTTGCAGTTTGAGGAGGAGCTGTGGCGGTCGTCGACGTTTATTGACTTATGCAGCAATTTTAAAAATATATTTGCAACAGAGTGGCTGTCGCCACTAGAGAGGAGTCGAGTAACCAAAAAGTGACAAAAAAGTTCCAATTACGTGGTGGATAACACTTTTCAAAAGGTTTTGTATATATGCAAAAGGTTCTGGTAAATGAAATTGAATACTTAATATAATACTTATTCTACATTTGTTATATAAATTTAATTGATTTCAAAAAAAAATCACAATTTATAGCCAATTAAAATTAATGTTTATTTAAATCAAATAAAAAAATATATTGTGATTTAACAACTTTGGAATTAATTTTATTCTTCAAAATCGATTTAATTCCCTCACATGAACCAAAAAAAAAAAATAAAATAAACAACACGAATGGAGGAAGTTTTGAATCATATTCCAAACAATAACAACTCATAAAGCTCCCACCAATAACAAAAAAAAACGTGTTTTTTGTTTTTGTTTACAACTACAATAACAACAGCAATGTTTTGAAAGTAAGAAGCAGTGCAAACGTATTACGTATTTACCAACTTGATTAACCACTGTGTTTCTAATTACAATAAAAACAATAATTCTATGCATGCAAGCAAAAAAAAAAACAAAAACAAATACAAACAAAACACAAAACCAAAAACGAAAAAGAAAAAACTGAATCAGCAAATGCAGAATTTCTGCAGTTGCACAAAGTTGTAACTACCTTCAGCTGCTGCTCTTAAAAGAATAATAACAACAACAACACTTTTAATTTATTTTAATTATTCAAAAATACACTTTGTTTCACTTCCAATAAATAAATTTTTCCATACATAAACATAATATAAACACATTAAGCTCATGAACTTATTTTTTTTATATTTTTATTACCGGCATAATTTATATATTTTTTTTTTATTATTATTTTCAAGTAAATTTTAGTTCTTCACCATAATTTTTTCAAAACAAAGGCACACACACACACTCAATGCGTCTAACGAAATCAAACGCAAAACCGACAGCAACCACACTCAATCGGCAACAGAACCAAACTATTCAGGAGAATAGAAATTTGCAAATATAAAGAAGAGCAGCACAACACAATTTTGGTTGTGGTCTGAATCATAACACAGCAATTACACAAAATAATATTAAGTGTACTCACCATAGAGAGTTAAGGTTAATTCTACTGCTTGTAATTTAAACAAAATTAATGCGTTTGCTTTAATGTTTATATTATAAATATATCATAACTTAAAATGTAAACTTAATTTGAATATTGTTTTTGTATTTTTGTGATTTGTGTTGACTTGGTAACTCATTAGAAACAAACATTGATGAGAAGATTCAAACAAAGAGTTCCTGGCTTGTAAAATTTAACTGAGCGTGACCCAGTAGTAAATGAAAAAATCCATTTAATGCAAAAAAGTTGTAACCACCACAAGTAACTACATATTACCACTACAATAATATATGTGTAGTGCAATATGTAATCCTGTAATATGAGTAGGAGTATTTTAGCAAAAAAATTTATATTATGGGAGAGGGAAAATATCAAATTTAGCAAAAAAAAATAAGTCTGTTCCACGAGTTACTTGTAGTAAAGCGCAAGTAAAGTACAAACTGAGAGCGTAAGACAAATAAAGTGACAAATTTTACTCTTTACACAGATTTCCATGGAACAGCTTTGCGTAAATATGGTAAGAACACCAGTGCCGGGCAAATAAACAATACAAAAATTTTAATTCAAAGCAAAACCGCTGATTCATACATCAACACAAATTTTACTTAAAATAAAAGATATGCGTAAAGTTTGTGTAGCATTTTCAAATTTCGGCAGGGATGTTATGCTCTCTCAGATGCTCTCTCAGATGTTGAAAACTATTGGCATATATTCATTCCAACTTCAGTAATTTTTAAATTGATATAAAAATTTTAAAAACTTTTAGCGCTACGTTTGTAAGAACCTTATGAGCTAATACATCTACCGTATTTTTAGTACATTGTGGTACTTGTAAATACTAAGTAGAGACAAAACTCCAAGCAAATAGTGTAGCAAATACAACAACCAAATTTAATAATCGGTAAAACAGTAGTTTTGAACGTATAAAGTTGTATGATGAAACCGAATAAAATAAAAATTACTAATTTAATTTCTTAGTTAACTACTAATTTCCTCACTTAATTTATAAAGAAGACTTTATGCCGCATAAATAATTTTCTGAATACATTGGTTCTAATTGAAAATCAATATAAATTATTTCCTGTGTTAATCTATATTTTACTACATGAATTTAAAAACCGGTAAAATTGGTTTAAAATAAAAAATCTATTCGAGACACAAACCTCTAAAAACAATGAAGCAGTTTATATAAAAAGTATTGTTCTAAGTCGATTAAGCAGTAGAATAGCTACTTTGTTTTTCCATAAAATTTTGATTGCGAAGGAACAGTGGGCTATCTGTGGAACTCAGTGTGAGTTAATTTTATCTACAACAATTTTAGCAATTACAACAATTTAATTATAATCTCTACAACTTAGCACATTTTTAAGATCCGATTAGCCAAGAGTGATGAACATATTCAGTTATTTCAACTAAATCTCCTTTTATGTATTCAATATACTTAAAATAGGGCGTTTGGAACGTTCTACGTCAACTGTACGACCACAGTTGACGGATGATGGATTTCTCAATATATTTATTAACTTGTTTTTAATTTCTGTGATGGTTTTTGTACATAAAAAAAATTATTTTCATTAAAATTGAAAGATTCGAATTTCACTCACTTTAAAGGATGATGCTTTTCTTAAAACTTAACAATTTTCTACAGTCAGTTCGCAGTTAACACAATCGATATAGCATTCTGAGCAAGATTGGTAAGAAAGATCAAAAGTCACTGACTCCTTGACACACTTCAGTATTATTTTCTCAGAGGATGTTTTTAGATTGATAAATTTTAAAAAAAATTATGCATTTAAGCAGTGGTTGGAAGTTCATAAAAAAAGTAAAAAAAGTAAAAAAAAATATAATCGAATCTCACTAAGTTGATAACAGAGTTACTTTATCATCTTGTGCTTAATCTCGTCCTTATTTGCTGCATTCCACCCTATTTTATTTAGCACAATTCCTACTCAACTTTCCAAGATATGACTTAGTGAATATGAAATCGATAGCTTTCTGTGTATTGTATTCTCTTATTGGCATGAACAGACGAAGGGCTACAGCAGCTGTAACAACAACAATTCCATGGCACTTTGTCTTTACTATGTCGGGAAGTATCTGGTACCCGAATTTGAAGTATTAAAATTTCAATTATGAAATACAGCTTTATATATTATTAAAAGTTGATTGAGTTACGTTTCTACTTATTATATTTACTGTTATATAACAATTCTGATACATTAGCAATTAATCTTTGCAGATTTTATATGCTAAATTACACCACGATTGTAGTCCTTATGCGATTATCTTAATCCCTTAAATGTATATATCATAAAATGTATGTTCTTTAATGTATAAATCATGATTTGAAGTCGTTTAAAGTGATCAGTAAAATATCTAGTAATATTCTCTAAATGCCATCCCTGCGTCATAGCCTTACTTTAGAGTCCACCTCCTCATTCCCCTCCTACATTCCTTCGTTAATGTAAAACAATTTGCACATTAATTGAATTATTTAAAACGCTTTAATGTGCCTTTTTAAAAATTTCCTGTAATTATTCCATTTTACACTTATGCATTTATGGTCTCATTTCCTTTTGGGGAAACACAAAAAGAAAACAATCCTGTTTCTCTTTTGCATTTGATCCTTGAACTTGAGTCTTAAATATTTCATATCTTTTGTTCTGCCCTGTTTTTACAGTTTACAGTTTTCATTAAATACAAATTTTCAGCATTTTATTTGTTTATTTTTTTATTTTTTTCATTTCTTTCGTGTTTATTTTATTAAATTTTTCAGCTTTTTAATAGGCTTTCGGTTGTAATTACAGCGCCATGCACGGCAATTATTACTCCTTAAAATGCAGAAGAAAATAATAAGAGAAGAAAAACGTTTTCATTGAAAAAAGAAAGGTCGTCGTTTCCCTTCAATTATGCCTCGGCTCACAAAAAAGCGATGAAGTACAAAAAGGAGCATTAAAAATAGAAAGAAAATTTTCGTAGATTGTCATAAAAAATGTTATGATAAATGAAACAAAAACGGAAACGGAAACGAGAATTAAAGACACCTGCTGTGAATTACTTTTATTATAATTTCCTGCAGATATTTCCTTGCCTTTCTTGGCTTTCTTGCCCAACACTTCTTCATTTCTTTTATTACTTTTAATTTATGCCTTTAAGTACAATGGGTGAAAATTTTTGGACCTGTTGGGCTTATGTCTCCGAAAACCACTTCATTTAAAAAAATAATGAGAACCTTTAGGAAGGACACTCAGTTAATGGCCTAACTTGAATAATTGAAATAAATTGAGATAAAAAGGAGAATACGTTTGTGAGTTCATGAGTTATGAGTCAATAAAGAGATGTTCTGGAATATAAGGAAAACCACAACATTTATATTTAAAATATAAAAAATAATATTAAAAAAAAATTTCCATTTAAAATATGTTATTTACAAAAAAAAAAAAAGTTAAAAATATTTCATTAGAACTTTTAAGAGAGTGAGTTTAATCCTTTGTAATTATGAGTACACATCTAACGCTGTAGGGGAGTGTGTAATATCGTCGTCAGTTTTCCGAGAAAATTTACAAGAGTGTGCTTTAAGTCGTTGTCCATTTCATAAAAATGGCAGACATCAATTTCCGAGAGTCCACACTTTCTTAAGCGATACCTCAGTTCCTTATATGTAACCAGATTAAACCTTTTTGTGGACTTGTAAAAAAACCACTCAAATAAAGTCATCAAGAAAAGGAAAGCCTGGTAACATTCTACAATGTCAAGTAAAATGATTTCTCATCACAGTAAACGGAATATCAAGTAAGATACTTTCGCTTAACAGGGTAGACTTAAAGACTTTTCTAGTTGGATATACATAGAGTGTGTATGGAATTTAATGGGACCCTTTAATAAAAGTAAAAAATTCGAAGGTGTAGGAGAAGTTAATCACTACCTACCTATATTTACTTAGTTTGATACCGTCCAACTTTCACTTTTTGGAAAAAATGCATCTGGAAGAAGAAGAAATTTAGTTAATAGTGTATTACACGTCAAAGAAAACGATTTCTTATCGGAGAAAATGGAATCTCAGGTAAGTTAATTTTGGTAAGTGGGTAAGACTTAAAGAATCTAACTGGTTGGATATAGATAAAGTACGTTCGGAATTTATTGGTACTCTTAAAAAAATATTTAAAAATTCTTGTTCGCAGAAAATGGATTATCAATTAAGATACTTTTACTAAACAGGTTAGACTTTAAGAGTCTTTCTGGTTGAACATATATAGAGTGCGTTTGGAATTTATTGGGACTTTTAAAAAATATTTAAAAATTCTTATTCGCGGAAAATGGATTATCAATTAAGATTCTTTTACTAAACAGATCAGACTTTAAGAATCTATCTGGTAGATTACAGATTAGATGCGTTCAGAATTTATTGAGACTCGCTTAACTTTTAGCGTAGAAAGAAATAAGATTTTCACTTCAGACGCAATAATTTCATTTTCATTTATCTAGTCATAAAACTGTCAATAGATGGCCTCACTAAAAATATCTATTTTTAAAAAGTCTTTTTTTCTTTACTTTATTCTTCTTCTTTAAATAATAAATG